CAGTATGTATATACACTACCAGTCAAAAGTTTTAGAACTCCTACTGATTCAAGGGTTTTTCTTTATTTTTACTATTTTTTTACATTGTAGAGTAATATTGAAGACATCCAAACTATGAAATAACACATATGGAATCATGTAGTAACCCAAAAAGTGTTTAAAAAATCTAAATATATTTGAGATTCTTCAAATAGCCACCATTTGCCTTGATGACAGCTTTGCACTCTTGGCATTCTCTCAACCAGCTTCATGAGGTAGTCACCTGGAATGCATTTAAATTAACAGGTGTGTCTTTTTAAAAGTTAATTTGTGGAATTTCTTTCCTTCTTAATTCATTTGAGCCAATCCTTTGTGTTGTGACAAGGTAGGGGGGTTATACAGAAGATAGCCCTATTTGGTAAAATACCAAGTCCATAAGAACAGCTCAAATAAGCAGAGATCGGGGTGCCTGGTAAGGAGCCGGCGACGAGTAGCTAATCTGCTTTTGCCATCGATACTATTGGCCAACGTACAATCGCTTGATAATAAAGTGGACGAACTAGAAGCACGTATATATTCTACCAACGGGACATTAAAAACTGTAACATCTTATGTTTCACCGAGTCGTGGCTGAACGACGACATGAATAACATACAGCTGGCGGGTTATACACTGTATCGGCAGGATAGAACAGCAGCCTCTGGTAAGACAAGGGGTGGCGGTCTATGTATATTTGTAAACAACAGCTGGTGCACGATATCAAAGGAAGTCTCGAGGATTTGCTCGCCTGAGGTAGAGTATCTCATGATAAGCTGTAGACCACACTATCTTCCAAGAGTTTTCATCTATATTCTTCGTAGCTGTCTATTTACCACCACAAACCGATGCTGGCACTAAGACTGCTCTCAATGAACTGTATACGGCCATAAGCAAAAAGGAAAACGCTCATCCAGAGGTGGCGCTCCTAGTGGCCGGGGACTTTAATGCAGGGAAACTTACATCAGTTTTACCGCATTTCTACCAGCATGTTAAATGTGCAACCAGAGGGAAAAAAAACTCTAGACCATATTTACTCCACACACAGAGACGCGTACAAAGCTCTCCCTCGCCCTCCATTTGGCAAATCTGACCATAATTCAATCCTCCTGATTCCTGCTTACAAGCAAAAACTAAAGCCCCAGTGACTCGGTCAATAGAAAAGTGGTCAGATGAAGCAGATGCAGGACTGTTTTGCTAGCACAGACTGGTATATGTTCCGGGATTCTTCCGATGGCATTGAGGAGTACACCACATCAGTCACTGGCTTCATCAATAAGTGCATCGATGACGTCGTCTCCACAGTGACTGTACATACATACCCCAACCAGAAGCCATGGATTACAGGCAACATCCGCACTGAGCTAAAGGGTAGAGCTGCCGCTTTCAAGGAGCGGGACTCTAACCCGGAAGCTTATAAGAAATCCCGCTATGCCCTCCGACGAACCATCAAACAGGCAAAGCGTCAATACCTCTCCCTGTCTGTAATACCAACATGTTTCAAGCAGACCACCATAGTCCCTGTGCCCAAGAACACCAAGGTAACCTGTGTAAATGACTACTGACCCGTAGCACTCACGTCTGTAGCCATGAAGTCCTTTGAAAGGCTGGTCATGGCTCACAACACCATTATCCCAGAAACCCTAGACCCACTTCAATTTGCATACCGCCCCAACAGATCCACAGATGATGCAATCTCTATTGCGCTCCACACTGCCCTTTCACACCTGGACAAAAGGAAAACCTATGTGAGAATGCTATTCATTGGCTACAGCTCAGCATTCAACACCATAGTGCCCTCAAAGCTCATCACTAAGCTAAGGACCCTGGGACTAAACACGTCCCCCTGCAACTGGATCCTGGACTTCCTGACGGGCCGCCAGGTGGTAAGGGTAGGTAACACATCCGCCACGCTGATCCTCAACACGGGGGCCCCTCAGGGGTGCGTGCTCAGTCCCCTCCTGTACTCCTTGTTCACTCATGACTGCATGGCCAGGCCCGACTCCAACACCATCATTAAGTTTGCCGATGACAACAGTGGTAGGCCTGATTACCAACAACGACAAGACAGCCTATAGGGAGGAGGTCGAGAGTTTCAAGTTCCTTGGTGTCCACATCACCAACAAACTAACATGGTCCAAGCACACCAAGACAGTCGTGAAGAGGACACGACAAAACCTATTCCCCTTAAGGAGACTGAAAAGATTTGGCATGGGTCCTCAGATCCTCAAAAGGTTCTACAGCTGCACCATCGAGAGCATCCTGACTGGTTGCATCACTGCCTGGTATGGCAACTGCTCGGCCTCCGACTGCAAGGCACTACAGAGGGTAGTGTGTAGGCCCAGTACATCACTGGGGCCAAGCTTCCTGCCATCCAGGACCTCTATACCAGGCGGTGTCAGAGGAAAGCCCTAAAAATTGTCAGACTTCAGCCACCATAGTCATAGACTATTCTCTCTGCTACCGCATGGCAATCGGTACCAGAGCACCACGTCTAGGTCCAAGAGGCTTCTAAACAGCTTCTACCCCCAAGCCATAAGACTCCTGAACATCTAATCAAATGGCTACCCAGACTATTTGCATTGCCCCCTCCTCCTCCTCTTTTACACTGCTGCTACTATGTTTATTATCTATACATAGTCACTCTACCTACCTGTACACTACCATTCAAAAGTTTGGGGTCACTTAGAAATGTCCTTGTTTTCGAAAGAAAAGCAAATTTTTTGTCCATTGAAATAACTTCAAATTGATCAGAAATAGTGTAGACATTGTTCATGTTGTAAATGGCTATTGTAGCTAGAAACTGTTGGTTTTTAATGGAATATCTACATAGGCGTACAGAGGCCCATTATCAACAACCATCAGTCCTGTGTTCCAATGGCAAGTTGTGTTTGCTAATTCAAGTTTATTATATTTAAAGGCTAATTGATCATTAGAAAACCCTTTTGCAATTATGTTAGCACAGCTGAAAACTGTTGTGCTGATTAAAGAAGCAATAAAACTGGCCTTCTTGAGACTAGTTGAGTATCTGGAGCATCAGCAATTGTGGGTTCGATTACAGGCTCAAAATGGCCAGAAACAAATAATTTTCTTCTGAAACTCGTCAATCTATTCTTGTTCTGAGAAATGAAGGCTATTCCATGCGAGAAATTGCCAAGAAACTGAAGATCTCGTACAACGCTGTGTACTACTCCCTTCACAGAACAGCGCAAACTGTCTCTAACCAGAATAGAAAGAGGAGTGGGAGGACCCAGTGCACAACTGAGCAAGAGGACAAATACATGTCTAGTTTCAGAAACAGACGCCTCACAGGTCCTCAACTGGCAGCTTCATTAAATAGTACCCGCAAAACACCAGTCTCAACATCAACAGTGAAGAGGCGACTCTGGGATGCTGACCTTCTAGGAAGAGTTGCAAAGAAAAAGCCATATCTCAGACTGGCCAATAAAAATAAAAGATGGGCAGTCTGAGATATGGCTTTTTCTTTGCAACTCTGTCTAGAAGGTCAGCATCCCGGAGTCGCCTCTTCACTGTTGAGACTGGTGCCATTGGAACACAGGACTGATGGTTGCTGATAACGGGCCTCAGAACGCCTATGTAGATATTACATTTTTTTTTTTTTACATTTACGTCATTTAGCAGACGCTCTTATCCAGAGCGACTTACAAATTGGTGCATTCACCTTATAGCCAGTGGGATAACCACTTTACAATGTTTTTTGTGGGGTGGGGTAGAAGGATTACTTTATCCTATCCCAGGTATTCCTTAAAGAGGTGGGGTTTCAAATGTCTCCGGAAGGTGGTGAGTGACTCCGCTGTCCTGGCGTCGTGAGGGAGCTTGTTCCACCATTGGGGTGCCAGAGCAGCGAACAGTTTTGACTGGGCTGAGCGGGAACTGTGCTTCCGCAGAGGTAGGGGAGCCAGCAGGCCAGAGGTGGATGAACACAATGCCCTCGTTTGGGTGTAGGGACTGATCAGAGCCTTTGCCATTGTAACGGAGGTTTCCATTACAATGGCCATTTACAACATTAACAATGTCTACACTGTCTTTCTGATCAATTTGATGTTATTTTAATGGACAAAACAATTGCTTTTCTTTCGAAAACAAGGACATTTCTAAGTGACCCCAAACTTTTGAATGGTAGTGTACCTATTACCTTAACTGGTATCCCCTGTATATAGCCTCACTATTGTTATTTTACTGATGCTCTTTAATTATATGTTACTTTTATTTCATATTATTTATTTAATGTTTTATCATTTTTTTCTTAAAATTGCATGGTTGGTTAAAAGCTTGTAAGTAAGCATTTCACTTTAAACCTGATGGATTCGGCGCATGTGACATAAAATTTGATTTGACAAACGACAGTCCATTACTTTAAGACATGAAGGTCAGTCAATAAGGAAAACTTCAAGAACATATTTCCGTTTTCTTGTATACAAAAAAATATATTTGTGTCTACATTCAACTGGTAAAGTAAATTTGTGTAGAAAACAGCAGGCACACCTTCCTAATATTGAGTTGCACCCCCTTTTGTCCTCAGAATAGCCTCAATTTGTCAGGGCATGGACTCTACAAGGTGCCGAAAGCGTTCTACAGGGATGCTGGCCCATGTTGACTCCAATGATTCCCACAGTTGTGTCAAGTTGGCTGGATGTCCTTTGCGTGGTGGACCATTCTTGAGACACACAGTTAACTGTTGAGTGAAAAACCCAGCAGAGTTGCAGCTCTTGGCACACAAACCGGTGCGCCTGGCTCCTACTACCATACCCCGTTCAAAGGCACTTAAATCTGGTCTTGCCCATTCACCCTCTGAATGGCACACATACACAATCCATGTTTCAATTGTCTCAAGGCTTTAAAATCCTTCTTTAACCTGTCTCCTCCCCTTCATTTACACTGATTGGAGGATTTAACAAGTGACAATAAGTGATCATAGCTTTCACCTGGATTCACCTGGTCAGTCTGTCATGGAAAGAGCAGGTGTTCCTAATGTTTTGTATATATTCTTATTTTTTAGCAAGAAATTGTCTCAAACAATACGCAAGCTCCCCCTAAAAGACTGACTAAATAATAATAGAAAAACCAGAAAATCCATATTAGAATTTGGGGACCTTTTAATTGCCCAGTCTTCAATAAAGTCTTTACATAATCAAGAAAATAACAATTAAAAGGTAAACTAAAGTAAAACAGAAAACCCCCCCAAAAATGTTACACGTACAGTACATGTAAGACATTTCATCGTTATGTATGAACAACGTGGTAGAATCTTTTCACATAAATGTGGTTTGTTTCTTATAATTATTAGGGTTAGGAGCCCATCACAAACTTGTCAGGAAATGTAGATGTTGAATTAGAGCAGTTGCAGCAGTCCATTGTAAAAAAAATAAAAATCTTCATCTTCCTTTACTTATTTTCTGTTTTAAGTCCTCTTTCCGCCGCCACTACCTCTGCCTGAAAAACAACAATCACAAATGAAAGCATTTGACAACGCTGGTAGAAATTTTGTCCAGATACAAGTGGAGTAAAGGGAATATATGTGAAGTATCAATTGACATGTCCTCATCAGTTTTGCAACTTCAATTCAAACTAGATCAGGGATGGAAGCCACAAAAAAAATATCCTGAGGGCTCTTGGATCTGCTTACCCACATCCATACATGCAGCCAGAGTCGGCCCTAGGCTTTTGGTGGCCCCAAGCAAATTTTTGTTCATGGAAAATATATATTTCACAGCGGTTTAGATGGTACAATGATTCTCTACGCTATACTTGCTAGTTTTGTCACAAACCAGGAAATGGTGGAGCGATTTCTGCATAGTGCATCTTTAATTTCCTGCAATTCTCCACATTTTGCCATGGGCCGGAGAGAAATGTTCGCAGTTTTTCCCCCCATACGATTTCTGATGATCAATGCCTCCGGACGGTAATGCTTAACACAGGTTTAGATAGCTGGCTCTAGAGTTAATGTACCAATCTAAAAAAAAAAATAGTTGATATGGAGTGACTGACAATAGAAAAATGTCCGACGCACAACCAAATTTCACCTTGTGTATTCTATTATTCTAACTCTCAACAGTAAGTTGAGACCCCGGCTGAGTTCCCCCTGGTGGAAATTGATCCACGGGCCTACAAAAAGGTGGGCCCGCCAGTTAACCATCCCTGAACTAGATTATCTGTGGTCCTCTGTAGCTCAGCTGGTAGAGCACGGCGCTTGTAACGCCAAGGTAGTGGGTTCGATCCCCGGGACCACCCATACACAAAAATGTATGCACGCATGACTGTAAGTCGCTTTGGATAAAAGCGTCTGCTAAATGGCATATTATATATTATTATTATATCTCACCTCCTCGTCCACCCCTGAAGCCGCCACCTCTGCCCCCAGCACCACCTCTAGCCCCGGGTTTCCCTCCTAAACGCCTGTTGAAACCCGCTCCTTCTCCACGAGGTCCTCTTTCACCCTGGGGTTTGGCATAGACCAGGGTCACATTGCTCCCGTCAATCTGAAGGTCTTCCATGGCATCCTTGACAGCCTTGCAGACCTCTGGGCTCTCAAAGTCCACAAAGCCAAACCTAAGAAGTGGCCAACAGTGAGTTTTCAAAGGACATCTGAATGTAAAAATGTGATTTGAAAAGGGTAATTTTTCACCACCATACCCTCTAGATACGCCAGTCTCCTTGTCTTTGGTGACTCGAGCTTCAATGGCGCCTTCAAAGGCACTTTTCAAAGTCTCCTCACTAGTCTCCTTGGCGAGGTTCCTGATCATCAACGTCTTCGAAGGAACTACAAGAGAACATACAATACAGAAGTATGAACGATCACACAACCAAACAACTTCAATCATTCACCAGCCAATTCTCTGCTATGAGATGTTCATTGGGCAAGTCTAATAGTAATATTCACCAGAGTTCCCTTTGTCACCTTCTGGCCTCTTCTGGCTGAACTCTACTCTGATGGCTCTTCCACAAATCTCTTTGTTTAACGATGATTCCAGGGCTTCTTTGGCATCCTCCACACTTTCAAACTGAATGAAGGCAAGACTTTTGAAAAAAAAAAAAAAGGGCCTAATTGTCACAATTAATTAACTTAATTGTCTTAAGGTATCATCTCCATTCAGAACATGAAATTAAATCGCATGAATCATAATGATTTTTTAAATAATTATCAATTTGATGGCATTCAACATTTTCACTAGAGCTCAACAAAGCAGATGCATCATCAATGTGCACCGTCACTCACCCTCTTGGTTTACCATTGCTCTGCGGTATCTTGACACTGACTGCTTTGAGAAAGATTTTCTTCAGGGCGTCCTCTTTTGCACCGTAAGCCAGGTTGGTCACCAGTAATTCGTTATTATGTGTGGCCTCAGCTATGGAACAGAACATGTTAACTTCATCCACTTTTTAGAGAACTATGATAAACAAAATGTCTCAACTAAATCAGTGAATTACTACATACTTTAAATCGTGAAGATGCTAATGAGCAACATGACTAGCCATATAGCTAGCTATTCAAGTACCTTGTGCTTCTACAGTAATTTAATTCCCAGTGACTTAATTTCTATCCATCCTTACCTGGAGCTTTGATGATTTTTGGTTGTTGGCTCTTTTCTCCCAAAAAGTCAATAACGATTACACGGCCTTGGACATCAGTCCCCTGTTTCTCCTCCAGCACCTTCTCAGCAGTGGCCTCCGTTTTGAACTCTATGTAGGCAATTCTGTCACAATAAAATAGATGCAATAGACGTGTTTAGAACAGAATCCTGGTATAGACATAACTAGCAATTTCAAATCAAGCGTTGATATCAAATGGACACATTGCATCTCACCCTTTGCTTGGGGTGCCAATGCCTCCAGGAAACCTGATTTCGACAGCCGTGTCAAAGATTTTCTTCAAGTCCTCCTTTGTTGCTGCAAATGGGATATTCTTGACAAACAAGGTCCTGGCATCTTTCGCTGTGGGGAAAAATTCTCCTGTCACTACATGAAAATCAATCAATTCTAGAAATGACTAATATAACAGTAGCAAGGAAAATTCACTCAAGATGAGACTAGTACCTTTTTTGTCATCTACTGTGGGGTCTTTGACCTTGGCCTTGCCTAGCCTCATCTTTTGGTCCAGGATCTTCTCCCCATTCAGCTCAAGGGCTTTCGTCAAGTCTTCTTCTGTGTAAAAGTCTACATACGCAAATTTCCTATAGAATGCACAAAAACATTAAGTTAATATACTTACAAATCCATTGCCATGGAATGGGGAAGAATATTTATCATGAGGAAATCTACAAACATTTGTAGAGGTTAAATTGATGCAGTGCATAAAAATGCGAAGTACTCACTTTGTAATGTCCACTCGAATATCCTGAAACAACAGACTATGCAATGTGAAGAGGTTTGCCAATGCATCATTAATTTCCTCCACTTTCTTGGTTGTGTTCAAGCTTCCAACAAATAGACAAAAACCTTAAAAATAAAAAACCAAGATGCACGTTAGCACACAAACCATCAATCACTCAGAGGGAGTGATATTTACTCTTGTTCACAATCGTACCATCATTAATGCACTTTGTTTTCTTCGCTGGTGAAGTATCCTCCTCTGTTTCCACTTTCCTTTTTACTGGGGCTGCTGCAACAGCTGGAGAGAGAAATGCATAGACACACGTATTAAACACCATTCCATAGATACCCTGATGGAAAAAACTAATGAGTGACATCTGGCAAATATTGGTTCCAATTCTGTTCTTTGACCTCACCCTGGACCTTAACCGTTTCCACCCCAGCAGCAGGAGTTGAGTCCATCTGTTCCGCTTCTGAAGCTACACAAACAATATGAATTAGCATTGGAAATACCTACTGAATTTAAGGAAGAATGTGTGTTTTTTTAGGGAGCCTTTCTAAAATTGGACAGCGTTTTGCATTTAAGAAATTTCCTATGAACATTATCACTATTCCAATTAGGCTACATGTTTGGACTTGATGTCATACACATTAGATATACCGTCTATGCTTCTTACCACCCCTCAAAGCATTGACTACCTGGGGCATCTTTGACCTCCGAAACATAATCTTCAACAGGAGTTACTTTGTCTCCATCCTTCTCCATCACTGCCTCTTCAGGTTCTGTGGAAATGATGACCTGTGAAGTAGGGGCAGCTACCACAATGACCTGTGGAGTAGTGGCAGTGTCCTCTGTTGATGCTGGAGAATCAGTCTGGCCCTCTGCAAGGCATCATGGTGTATCAAAGGCTGATTTAATGTAATTTTCGTTTTATTTATTTATTGTCAATGTCAAAGTTACACTGGCCCACTTACCAGAGTTATTGTCCTTGCTAATCTTTCCAGCTTTCTTTTTAGATGATGTCCTTAATTGGGTTGCCTATAAAATAATATTTGGAATGAGCATTTCTGAACATTGCAAGTTATGGTGTGGACTTCGAAGATTAGTAACCCATCACCAATCAATTAAACAGAGAACAGGCCGATACTAACTATTCGAAATAGATACATTATAACACATTACGTTCAACACGTGGTACAAACACGTGGTACAAAGTAGCTAGTTAAACATTCCATGCACACACGTTCAGGCAGAGCAAAAGTAGAGTTCAGCGATAGCAACCTAACGTTAACTTAGCTAATTCGCTAACACTACCTAGCGCGTTCAACAATGTTGCCATTTCACGTGTGGCTGTGTGAGACTAACTGCAATGAGCCAGTTCGCCTTTAATAATAATTAGATTTTTAGATGTCATTCTTACTTTGCCTGACTTTGCCATGTTTTCTGTGTATTATTTTCTTTCAGCTAACCTTGCTGTACAGCGAACACGACTGCTCACATGTGGGGAGCAGCGATTAAATACTTTCTTTCCCGGCATGCACGTTGACCTAACGTCCCCGGAAATGGTTTGATATTTTCACCGGTCATTAATGGGCCTCGCTATCTGGAATCCTTGGGACGTCCCTACGGTTAACGTAAGGGTTAAGGTTAGGGTTAAGTAAGGATTAGGGCAGTGTGAGTTTGGGAAACACTGGGTTAGGGTAAGTATAGGAGTTAAGGTTAAGGTTAAGGTTTGGGGTAGGGACGTCCCAAGGATCCCAGATTGCACTGACCAGTCATTTACACAGTGGTTATTTAAGATATCCACTACATAGCACAGCCACAAAGCTATATCAAAGAAATTGACGAAAACTCAAATGAACTTTTTGGTCTTAATGTAAGGTTAGGCATAAGGTTAGCAGTGTGGTTAAGGTTGGGTTTTAAATGACATTTTAAGAAGAGACATTGTAGAAATATGACTCTGTGGCTGTGGTAACTAGTGACGACCGTCATTTAACTAACTAGCTAGCTAAAGCTAACAGTAGCTAATCCATTTCACGAAACGAACAACAGACAGCAGTAATACATGATTCAGGTAGCTAATGCCGTCTTGTTTATAGCTAGCTACTTTTCCTCTGCCCAACAACTAGATATCATTCACAGCTGACTTGTTATTAAAAGTCCAAGTTTGATTCAATCGACTAGCTAACGTTAGCTAGCGCGAAACAGATGCAACATTGCATTGGCGAGTTAGCTAGCTAGCTAGCTAGTCGCTATCTGGATATTTAGCTCAGCCTCTCATGACTGAGGAAAATCGAAACCTAGCTATAGCTGGTGAAGTGAACATTAAAACTTGTGGTGTGTGAGGTTGCTAGGGAATGTAGAGTTGGCTAGCTAAGTTGTCTTTAGCACTATAACTTGATGCCATGTCAATTAATGTTTGCAGCTGTCTCTGACTTGGTGGCCCTGATGTAGCGAGCTAACCACACATCAGTGGATGGCGGCATGGAGCCAAATAACCTTGATGGCGCTAGGCAGCTAACCATCCTCCCAGTCTAACAGAGATTGATCAAGGTGACCACTAACTTAGCTAGTCTGCATAACGTTCGCTATTAACATATCTGTACGTTTCTGTATGTTTTCTCAGGTTAATTGTATAGCTAAATACTAAATCTGAGCTCTTGTCTTTTCAGTCATGTCATAGCCAAATGGACCCTCGTCAATTCAAGGAAGGCAACAGGTCTCGGAATGGCAAACGTGGACCCAGCCAGTCCAGCACCCCTCATCAGAAAGATGCCTACGCCGGACTCCTCGGCCAGCATCACAGTAGAAAGTTCAGATCCTACCTGGACCAGTATGCCCAACAGCAGGGGGAAGAGAATGGGCCAAACGCACAGAGGCAGGGTCTAGCCCACAGCGACAAACAAGACTGCAGAGAAAAAGGGACCAGGCATTTATCGAGTGCTCTGACTCAAGTGACTTCTCGCCTTCGCCTATGAAAGGTAAGGGAGGAGAAGAGAGCTGTCTGTCCTTGTACATTGACAAGCGGGCGCCACAGGACCCGGAGAGGAAGCAGGGGCTTCCAACAAGCAGCGACGCGGGGAGAGGAGGGACACCAAAACCAGTCAGGACGGAGATGTGGAGTCCGGTGAGTAGTTGGGCTCTCTCAAACAGAGGGACTCCCAGCAGCAACACCAGACGACAAAACAAAGACTACAAAGACCATGCTTCCAACGTGCCCACAGTGACCAAAGAAACAAGGACATGAGTCATGGGACGTCTCCCCCAAAAGCTGGTTTAACTGACCCAGCTCAAGAGCAAGAGAAGAATTCCAAGAAGAAGAATGTGCCAAAGAACAACGAGGATAACAAGAGAGATGGGCCATTGTATCCTGACTTCAATGCAGTCACGTCAAAGTCCCCCTTTAACAAAACCAAAAACGTGCAACCCCAAGGTAAGAAATAGTCTTGACTAAGTGAACGTACTTATTTAATTACTTTGACCTGATAAAGTTGTTATATGCGATCAAGCTTTTACAAAGTTTTATTTTCTGTTGTAGATGGGGGTGTTGAATTGATATCTGAAATCTGTTTTCATCTCCAGGTCCCACTACGCCTTCTGACAAGTGTAAGAAGACTAGAGGATGCTGAGGACGATCAAAGACAGTGTTTGAAGCGTACATGACCACAGAGGACATTTCCCACGTCCTAAAGAGAGGAGAGCTCATTTAGGTGAAAAGACAAGACATTCCCCCCCCCAAAATAAAGATTAGTATGATGAATACTTATATCAAACCAAGTAGTCCCCTGTAGCTCAGTTGGTAGAGCATGGCGCTTGCAACGCCAGGGTTGTGGTTTCGTTTCCCACGGGGGGCCAGTATGAAAATGTATGCACTCACTAACTGTAAGTCGCTCTGGATAAGAGCGTCTGCTAAAATGACCAACAACAAAAAAAAGTAACCACGGTAATCATATGGTTACTTGTTTACCAAAGAACTCTGGCTTTCAGAAAATGCTGACCAAAGGCTTTATCTGTCAAAGAAGATCTAACACGATGGCATGACAAGTTAAGCACAGCTGTAGCATACTAATAGAAACATTTCCATCTTCTTCTTTGCAGGAATCAGTAAGAATCAACCCCAAAAAGTACCATGAGGATTTCATTGCAGCACCTGTGTGTGTGTGTGTGTGTGTGTGTGTGTGTGTGTGTGTGTGTGTACACACACACAAACAGAGAGAGAGAGAGGTTTGTGTAGACATATACAGTCAGGTCCATAAGTATTTGGACAGTGACACAATTTGTATAATTTTGTCTCTGTATGCCACTACAATGGATTTGAAAGGAAACAATCAAGATGTGCTTTAAGTGTAGACTTTCATCTTTAATTTAAGGGTTTTGTCAAAATTATTGTATGAAACGTGTAGAAATTACAACAATTTTTATACATAGCCCCCCAATTTTAGGGGCTCAAAAGTAATTGGACAAACTAACATAATCATAAATTAAATTGTGAGTTTTAATACTTCAATGTCAATGACTGCCTGAAGTCTGGAACCCATAGACATCCCCAGATGTTGGGTTTCTTCTCTGGTGATGCTCTGCCAGGGATTTACTGCAGCTGTCTTTAGTTCCTGCTTGTTCTTGGGCCGTTTTGCCTTCAGTTTTGCCTTCAGCAAGTGAAATGCATATAAAAGTGCTGTAATTCCTACACTGTTCACCCGATTTGGATGTAAATACCCTCAAACTAAAGCTGAAAGTCTGCACTTTCAGATCATATTAATTATTTAATTTCAACTCCAATATGCTGTGGTAGACAGCTAAAATAATTATAACTTCGTCAATGTCCAAATATTTATGGACCTGACTGTATATATCTATATCCATCCAGGAAGATATCCCGCCTGATAGATATCTACTATATATATATATATATATACACACTACTGTTCAAAAGTTTGGGGTCACTTAGAAATGTCCTTGTTTTCCATGAAAACATACATGAAATGAGTTTGAATAGGAAATATAGCAAAATGAATAGGAAATGTAGTTATTGACAAGGTTAGAAATAATGATTTTTAATTGAAATAATAATTGTGTCCTTCAAACTTAGCTTTTGTCAAAGAATCCTCCATTTGCAGCAATTACAGCCTTGCAGACCTTTGGCATTCTAGTTGTCAATTTGTTGAGGTAATCCTGAAGCACCTCCCACAAGTTGGATTGGCTTGATGGGCACTTCTTACTTACCATACGGTCAAGCTGCTCCCACAACAGCTCAATAGGGTTGAGATCCGGTGACTGTGCTGGCCACTCCATTATAGACAGAATACCAGCTGACTGCTTCTTCCCTAAATAGTTATTGCATAGTTTGGAGCTGTGCTTTAGGTCATTGTCCTGTTGTAGGAAGAAATTGGCTCCAATCAAGCGCCGTCCACAGGGTATGGCATGGTGTTGCAAAATGGAGTGATAGCCTTCCTTCTTCAAGATCCCTTTTACCCTGTACTTTACCACCACCAAAGCACCCCCAGACCATCACATTGCCTCCACCATGCTTGACAGATGGCATCAAGCACTCCTCCAGCATCTTTTCATTTGGTGTGCGTCTCAAAAATGTTATTCTTTGTGATCTGAACACATCAAACTTCGATTCGTCTGTCCATAACACTTTTTTCCAATCTTCCTCTGTCCAGTGTCTGTGTTCTTTTGCCCATCTTAATCTTTTATTTTTATTGGCCAGTCTGAGATATGGGTTTTTCTTTGCAACTCTGCCTAGAAGGTCAGCATCCCGGAGTCGCCTCTTCACTTTTGACGTTGAGACTGGTGTTTTGCGGGTACTATTTAACCCTCCCGTTGTCCTAGGGTCAAAATGACCCGCCACTGTGTTGAACCAACTTTATTTAATTTTTATAT